TTTTCGTCATAAAATTCAGAATTTTATTCTGCCTCTCTTTCTTGGGCTAGCTTGTGTTTTTAGTACATGGTGGACATTTATTTTTTATCAAATGGAATAAAAAATGGTTGTTCTTCTCTTATATTTAAGGACAGTTGATCATAGGACATCTTAAGCCATAATCATTTTGGTAGTATGCCTGTAAATGTAGTATGTCTTTTTAATGTAGCCATGACTCATTTACTGTTTAGAAATTTGGGTTAAGAGATGCTGCAAATGAAAGTTTTTTTTTAAAACTTACTTGACCTATTTTAAATATCTTTCTACAAATGTAAAAGTTAAAAATTCACAAATCGCAGTTTTTCTTCATAATACAGAGAGTTCAAGTTTCGAATCGTGTAGTATATTATGTAAATGCTTTGTAAAGGGCTTTGTAAATTTTGACGCTGCATTTTTTTTTCCCCAAGGTTCTAGACAAAGCAGAGTATCTAAGAGATATGGAAGCAAATGTTTTGCCTGGTTTTCTTAGGTTACAAGAATTGGTAAGTATTCCAGATGAGAATAGAAGTAAAGGAGCTTTTTGTTTGATTTTTAGAGTGTTCTACTTTCTTAGTGAAAATACTAAATGATTTCATCTTCTTTACACCAATTGTTTCTTTAAACTTTGTGGACATTTTCACTGATTTAGCCAAAATATCTTGAACGTTAATAGTTTTAAAACTTCTTGTTATGAGGGTTTTGTTAGCTCTAGTAATTCGATAAAATTTTGTGGCTACTGTTTTCAAAATTAAGCTCTTGTTACTGAGAATCTCCTGTAGAATCATTTTTCTCTACTTCTACTTTTTTTCCCACCTTTTTCATATTACTTGTATTTTCCAGTTTCCTACAAAAAAGAAATCAACATGTGCAAATAGATTATGGTAGGAATGTAGGAGGCTTCTCCAGGAACCCAATGGCAGGAATGCAGCCAGGCCTTAAGGCAGAGCTGGAACTAGGAACAGAAGGCTTCTCAGGCTCTCCATCTATCATTGTTATTTCCATGAATTAGCTCTGCCTTCTCCCTTTGCTTCTTTAGTTCACATGGCAGAATTTGCAGCACCACAGCTTCCAAGTGTAATTCTACTGTAATTATCATGGCCAAATGAGAAAAGAACAGAGGTGGAGCTACTATGCATATGTGTTGGGTGAAAGCCAAAAAACATCATGGCAAAAACAGGTTTTGCAGTATTTTAGCTAAAGAAGATTGATGAGAGAATCCAGGCTTCACTGACTCAAGGTAGTATTAAAAATAACAACAAGAAGCCTGTTACTGTCGAGTTGGTTCCAACTCA